TTGATATTAACGTGTACTAAATCCATCTTTCCCCCAATATATTCAAGCATTGGCCGACGAACAAATTTTCCACCGTGATAAAGGCAAACCAATGCAGACTTCTTATTCATCTTGACCCTACACAAAAGACAACATATATTATAAGCATATGCAAACACATAATGGAGCGACAATATAATAGGTTACTTCATGGCTTTTTGGCTATGAAGAAGAGCCAAACAGAGCAATGTGACTGCGTCTTAGAAATTGAAGTTCTCAGTTGAATCGGTGTTCGTGGTCAAATACTGCATCTACCAAGTATGAGTATCCTTAATCTAATTCGAGTCTAAGAAACTTGGTTAAGGCTCATGTGAAATTCATCTCTGGTTAAAGCTTATCAATGTTTCAAATGTGCATTGATGTTGTAGTGAACATCAAAAACAAACTCCTTTTAACTTTTGTCAGTTGCCAGAATCAACAATTTCATGTCGCAAAAGGACAAGATGCTCTTGTCTTCCACCATAGACATTATGTTAATCTACCGCCATCCCATATCAGGGAAACAAAAAAGATGTATTCTGTGTTGTGTGTAGCCATCTAATCTAAAAGCAGAAAAGAAAATTGTGAACGAAGACGGTAAAAGTGCAGCAGCTCCAAACTCATGTTTGGTGATAGGCGCTTCATCCCAATTAAGATGACAGAAACCCTGAGAAGACTGGATGCTAATCCTTTGCATTAATCGAATTGCATGCCACCTATTTGATAAAATGTCTAAGTGAAATCAGAATTTATGCTTTCTTAAGGAAATAAGTTTTTTACGAAGGAAATAAGTTCTGAAGCAAATAAGTTCAATAATCATTGTATGTCCTTTTCCATGACTAAAACCGAAAGCCAATCTTTATCATTGTTCTGTTTTTTTCTGCTTTCATATTCTGCCATGCTCACATGAAGACAACGAAAACATAAAAATTTGATGGTTCGGGACCACGAAAACATACCTTTATGTCTGCTGAGTGCCGACAACACAACCAAATCGGGACCACGCACTTTGTCGTGTTCCCTGCAGAATCTCAAGGTCCAACCGCGTCGCGACTGGATTATGGGTCAATCGGGTCTTCGCAATTTCAAGGGGGCAAATTGTAGGGTTGGGACGGACAAAGGCGTCGAGCTAAATAGGAGACTTGATTCGATGAAAGAACGAGTCGGCTTGAGCAAAATCCTTTGATTCTGAGTTGAGATCAATTGGTTTGGGCAAATAGGAGTTAGGGTTCTTCTTCCTGGGTTAGCTCGCGTTGAAGGTCGCTTGATTTGGGGAAAGGAAAAACGCAAGAGACTTTTTTGACGACGCCGTTCTTAATCGAAGGTCTATGGTTTTTTTTTTTTTATAAAAAAAACTGAAACAAAACGACGCCGTTTTATTTCCCGGCGTCCACGTCAGCGCCGGTCCGGCCACGTAGGACGGCCGGCGCTGACTGGGTATCCACGTAGGAATTTTCCGAGCAAAATTAGCCGGAATGACTAAATTGGCACAAATGCAAAAGGTTTAGGACTGAATTGGCACCAATGCACCAATTGCACCAAAAAAAGGTTTAGGACTAAATTGGCACCAATGCAAAAGGTTTAGGACTCAATTGGCACCAAAAAAAGGTTTAGGACTAAATTGGCACCAATGCAAAAGGTTTAGGACTTTTTTGGCACTTTTCCCGAAATATACTTGATGCTTGCAAAATTTTTTTTTAACACCTCCCTTAACTACTTAAATGCAAAACTCGATTCTTTCATAAGTGTACTCGCGGAAAACATTTTCGCCAATTAGAGATACAACGAAAGTCAAATTAGTAAACCTCGCATGTATTTTGACCTAATTTAATGAGATTTTAAAGAATTTTCGAACAAGTGAAAAATATTTGAAAGTTGGCTAGCATTACAGAAAAAAATTGGAGTCGCATAGAAAGAAAAATGCAACGACTTAAAAAATTTTAATCAAACAAATTCAGTATACTTAAATATTTTAATGAATTTCAGTTTTTGGTTAATCACAAGATGATCGTGATTTTGATTTTCGAGTTAACTTGAATTGCCATGATTCGAGTAGAAATTATGGACGCTTTAAGTGGTGTAAATTAGGTATCCGAGCTTTATTTTTAACAATCGTATTCATTTAACAAAAATGATGGAAAACTCACTGCAAATGTGAAAAATGTTTTACATTGGAGATGTACTTAACTTGTTATATTGTAATAAAAATGTTTAAACCGTTTTATTTCCTTATTGTTTTAATTTGATTTGTTTTTTTTTTCTAAATTTAAAGAATTCCCCACTTGGTGGGACCCACTATTTTCAAAGGAAACCGGACAAAAGGCAGCACCGTTACTCCTCCTTTTCCGGCGAAAAATTAACCATTGTGGGGTCTCGTCTCTCTCTCTCGGCAGCCGTGCCGCCACCGCCATGAGCACCACCACCTCCGCCGGACTCGGGCCGCACCGCCGGCACCATCACCGCCAGTTTGAAATTGCTCACGACCCCGGACTCCACAACTGTAGCTCTCTCTCTCTCTCCCCTCTTTCTTTCTCTAGGCACAGACCTCAGAGCTGAGCACGGGGCCTCAAACATGGTGGTGTGGGGAACCTCCATTGGAGGTCGGCTAGAGCGAGCGATAAACCGAAGGTGGTGTGACAGTCGAGCTAGGGAAGCGATGAAGCAGTAGTGGTGGGTTTTGGCAGCAGCAGCAGCAGTCGGCCTCCAATGGAGGTTGGAGGAAAAAACCAGGCGCAGGGCCGCCGAGGTGGCACAGAGCACGGATGCATCGACGGCACCACCAGGTGTGGCCAACGGCGACGTAAAGGTCGAGCGACCGTGGAGAATCTGGAGATGGTGTATCACGAGCTGGCAAGCTGCAAGCATGAAAGAAGAGGAGGAAAGAAGAAGATGAAGAGAAGAGAAGAAAGACAATATATTACTTAATTATTTTAATTTGAATTGGCAATCCTAATCAACATTTTCGCACAAGTTCTAACACTTCATTTAACAGATAAAAAAAAAGTTATGATACTTGATTGTAAAACGGCCGCCTTGAGTTTTATTAATGCAAATAAATAAGTGGAGTTTTGATAAGAGCTTGAAATAATAAATCTAGCGAAAACACCATGTCACGACCGGGGTCTCTAGACAAAGCTCATATTGAGAATTGAGTGAACATAAAAAGGTTATCATTAAGAGGTTCTCTGAGGTCTGCCACTTCTATTTTAAGATTCTAAGGTGATTTCAAGAGTTTATAAGGAAGGTTCCAAGTAGCTACATGGTGGGTCTCAGAGTAAGGCATATATCTTGTCTATCCTAGATTCACAATACTCTAATTATATGTGATATTAGAATTGCATGTAGCAGCTTTTATAAGCTAAAAATACATAAATAGTAAAGAGCGTCAGACAAGACAGAATATTGCCAATAGGTAGGCAGAAAATAACGTTTGACACGACACAATGTCGCCAATAGATAGAAAATAACGTCAAATATAAAATTTTATCGTCCAGATGATAATTTATAAATACTGTCAGAAAGGTTGGATTTTTTTACGCTTTTAATGAATACAGTTAGATTTCTGTTATTATAAATAAAAACAGATAAAATAATTCTTTTTGACGGATTTTCCAGTGTTTTTATGTTGTATCGTGAAACAGTTCTTTGAGGCCGGCTACTCTTTTCCTTGTTAAAAAACTATATATCCATATTTAGATACCAAGATGATTTATTATCATGTTTATGTCCTTAGAAGATATGCGAAATTCCGCTGGCAAGTGATTGAAGGATATGATTCCATGTACTATTTTTTTTAATGATACTTCATCTTATTCAATCAAATATTCTCTTGTTTCCTTTGTCAAAGATAATAGTTAGTGTTACCCCTTTCGCATTGCAACCCTATTAAGCTAATTGAAGTGGAAAGCTAGTCCAAACCAAGAGGGCTTGAAGGTGTGCCTACAGATTCTAAATATAAACCAAAAGGATACCTTTTTAGACATAGTATAGTAGCCATTATGATCTAATGGACGAAATTCTTTCATATTATAATGAGATCAGAGCTTCTTTAACACGACAAGGCGTCGCTTGAAAAACAAATCTAACTATCGTCAGAAATATTGGATTTCTCTCGTCTTAGCCAGATACAGTTTGATTCTTATTATGTAAAAGACGACAAAGATTCTCTTTTCAGTAGCATTATTTCAAGCTAACTAATCATGCAAGTCGCGACAGTGACGCGAATCTAGAATAAAATTCTCTTTTGTTCACACATGGAAATTTAACTATATCAAGATGGGGGTATGATGCTTATGTCTTTCAATAATTGACTGGTGCAAATGATGAATCCTAGGTTGAGCACCATGCAAGGCAAGATGGCAGCAAATTGAGAATAAATCGGAGATAAATTAAGTCAATATGATGTAAGGTGTTTATGCATAGATTGAGGGTTTTGTCCCTTGTTATTACACAAGATCATAATCCTAGTGATTAAAGTGATGACTTGATGATATTAGTTCACTCGTTAGGGTCTCACCATTTCATTTTTTCGACTCAAGTAGACGTGGAGACATTCATGACCTATTGCATACATATCCATTGCTCGCCACTCTTGATTTCTGTCAACTTTTTTCCCATACACATATCTTAATTCCTCATAATCAAGTACAGAATCTGCATTATTTAATGAAGGAGAAGAGTCGGCAGAAAAGGTAATAAGGTCAACTGAGTTAGAAGACTCAGCTCCTTCATCGTGGCATCGCCTTTTGTGACATCTAACCCCCGATTATAGGGCTTGTGCGCAACGTAGGTAATCGCCATCGACATTTGGAAGCGGGTTGGCATCAAGCAATGACGTCTTCTTTCCACCATAAAGAGGAAGCACAACAGAACACACACACACACACACACACACACACACACACACACACCACACATTAACATCCAGGTTACAAAATCAAACAGAAATAAGCTAGAGAAACAGAAGAAAACCTAGGCTTAACATGGAGGAGGTGGTGGTGCTGATAGTAGGAGCTGGCCCTTCAGGCCTTGCGGTCTCCAATTGTTTATCTCGCCTCTCGATTTCAAACATAGTTCTAGAGAGAGAAGACTGCTGCGCGTCACTGTGGAGGAAGAGATCATACGATCGCTTGACCCTCCATCTTGCTAAGCAGTTCTGTTCACTGCCCTACATGCCCCATGCACCGTCGTCCTCCACCTTCATGCCCAGGAAATCCTTCGTCGAGTACATCGACTCTTACATCTCGAGGTTTGGCATCAAGCCCCGGTACTGCCGCTCCGTCGACGTGGGCTTGTACGTCGAGAGCGAGAGGAAGTGGAGGGTCGAGGCAAGGAACACGTCGACCCAAGAGAAGGAGGTCTACTTGGCGCGGTTCTTGGTCATCGCCACAGGCGAAAATGGCGAGGGCTTCGTCCCTGAGCTGCCCGGGTTGGACGGGTTCGAGGGGAAGATCGTCCACTCGAGCGAGTACAAATCCGGGAAAGATTACGGGAACAAAGAAGTTTTAGTGGTGGGCTGTGGAAATTCAGGGATGGAGATTAGCTATGATCTATCAAACTTTGGCGCTCATACTTCCATTGTGATAAGGAACCCAGTATGACCACTTTTCCATTTACCTATGTTTCTGTTCTCCATCTCTTTTGCTTCATTTATTCTCATTACTTGATCGCATTCACATATATATATATATATATATATATATATATAATATTGTAATTTTGACCCCCGGAATGGGCATGCATGACACGGACTTGACCTAATTCAACAGTCTCTTTTCTCTTTTAAATATGCTATTGCATACCATCGAAAGGCCTTCATAATGTTTCCACTTGCATTTATTTAGGACAGTTAAAGCCCAGTAGCATCATGATCTTTTCATTTAAACCTTCGTGATGAGATTAAAGGCTCTGCTCGTTTAACGGAAATAACTTTCAAAAAAATATTTTCTGAATTTTCCGTCATTCGGCTCACGAAAAATAAACTAGTTAAAAAAAACATTTTCCACCAATGTAGAAAATATCTTCAAAAGTGAGGAAAACATTTTCCATATCTTTTTTCACCAAATTTTTACTTTTATTTTTCTTATTTTTTTCCTTTTTTAAAACTAATTTTTAATTATTTTCTATTTTTTTCCTTTTCTATCTTTTATGTTTTCTTCTTCCTCGGCCGGTCACCGACCATAAGCGAGGCTTTGCCTCACCAGCCTCAGGCAAGGCCACGCCTCGCCTGTGGCCAATTGCTGGCCATTGCCGTGGCCAACGACCGGCAGAAGAAGAAAGAAATGAAAAAAATAAAAAAGAGAGAAAAGAAAAGAAATATTAAAAAAAATTACAAATTTGATTTTTTTTTAAAAAAATGAAAATTTATTAAAAGGAGTGCAATCAGGATTTTCCATACTGAACAACAAAAAATATTTTCCAGTATATTTTCAGGTCTCAGCCGAACATAGAAAAGTATTGTCATTTTCTTAGAAAATGATTTTCCGAAAAACATTTTTCAAAATCGTCATATTTTCTGCGAAACAAATGGAGCCTAAATTTAGCACAAGATTGCAAAATCTCGGTATCTTTCATTTATAGTAAAAGCATAGTTGGTTTACGGTGAACATCTAGTTATAATTTTTTTTTTGTCAGATCTATTTATATCTAGTTATAATTAAAATGCCTTGTTTAATGCTAAACTAATTAGATGGTGGTCAATCAAACCAACAATTCAATCACATAATAATTTGGCAATTCCTCAACCTTTTTTCTTTTTTTTGAGAGAGAGAAACACTTAAAAGGACAATAATCTATATACTGATATAATTGTGCAACCTGTTATAGTTTCATGTGCTCAACAAGGAAATGGTTTACATCGGAATGTTACTATCCAAGTACGTCCCGATGACAATCGCCGATGCCGTGGTGACATTTCTCGAGAAGCTCTGGTATGGCGATTTGACTAGGTATGGGATCTGTCGACCGGCTAAAGGCCCGTTTCACCTGAAAGTGGCCACTGGAAAAACTCCGGTGATTGACGTCGGCACGATTAAGAAAATCCAATCCGGAGATATTAAGGTAAAAGCTACGTATACTATTGACAATTTGTCCATGTTTATTTCTGTCAATCATGCAAAGCTCAAGTGTTTACTGTTTCGACATTTATAATCACGGTGGCTTTGATCATTCTGATCTTTCTGCAGGTTCTTCCCGGAATAGTGAGGATTAATGGCAATAATGTGATGTTTGAGAACGGCGTCGTTAAGCAATTCGATGATATAATCTTCGCGACAGGCTACAAGAGTACTGCAAATTACTGGCTCAAGGTGGGTCCAAACAACTAACATAGCACCATAATACTAAGTTTATAGCATTGAATTTCATGTGTAGTTGGGTAGTTTTTCATGAAACCCAAGGTGCACTAATAATGCCACTACTGAAGTAGAGAATGTAGGCATCACTTCGGATAATTAGCAAAATCCGTTCCCTAAAAATATTATAATCAGGCATATTTTGTAGGCTACTCTCCTTTTCAATGAAGGAAAGCATATCTATTTACATGTTCAGCCTTTTGAAAACGATATCGGATTTGCTGGGTAGATACAAATACGCGTAGTTTAAGGTTAATTAATTGTGATGATTTGTGCTATACTATATAGGTAGTTGAATATTAATTATGATAATGTTACTTTCACTGAATCAGGATATTGAAGTGATCATGTTATTCACTCTCTCATACTTTCTAACTGAAGGAATGGATTTTGTTGGACACGTGCAGGATTACGAGTGCATCATGAACAAAGATGGGATGCCGAAATGCCTGTGCCCGCATCACTGGAAGGGAGAGAACGGCATCTATTGTGCCGGTTTCTCCAAGCAAGGATTGGCGGGGATCGCAAGAGACTCGGTGGCCATCGCCAATGATATCGGTGAAGTTCTAAACGGAACGAAGGAGAAGATTAAAATCAACTAATCAACGTTGCTCTCGCTCTATCTCTATCTGTGTGTTCTATGTATGTCTGTTTATATATGTAGTGATAAAGTTACTATCGTCGACTGGTTTGAAGTATGGAATGTATAAGACAACGCATCTGAACGTGGGTGCAAGCTCCCAAACTCCCTGTGAGTTCTAGGGTTTCTATTATGATTAGGGATGAAAGGCCTCCTGCGTGCATGCATGCTTTGTTACTGGTATGTAGTGGTGGTCCATGTTTCAGTCAGCAATAAACAATGAAGTCCAATGCTAGTCAAAGCTAATCTCTTGAGCTTCTTGCTGTGAAAATTGATCCTTTTCTTATTCTAGCTCTTTTGATAAACAACTTGATGCAAGAAGGGTTACTGGTTACAATAAGTACATGCAACTGTCATTAGTCATGTGAAAGTGTGTTCTACTCCTATTTTTTAACCTCTCATTCTTGAGAGAGGGCACCGCTATAACACAATAGAGAATTATAATTTGATATTTCAATGGCAAATTATTTTTTTGCCTTCCAAGGTCCACTCAAAAAAGGAGAAAAGCTAGTAGGTTAATACCATGAAAAACCCCAAACTAGCAAACATGTGATAAATTTACCCCAAATTAATTTTTTGACTATCAAAAATCCCAAACCGGTACACCATAACAAATTTACCCTCCGTTAGTTTATGTTAAATTTTACCGTCAAATTACTAAGTTAAATGACACATGACATTTGACAGGTGTACTAGTTTGAGGTTTTACCTTTCGTTTGTCACAAGTATACCAGTTTGTGATTTTTCGTAATATTAATATAATTTAACAGAAACTAACGGAAGGTAAATTTGTCGCAAATATACCATTTTGGGGTTTTCTGTGGTAAAAAAATTAGTTTGGGGTAAACTTGTTACAGATGTATCAGTTTGAGGTTTTTTGTAATATTAATCCAAAACTATTTAATGCTTCTATCATAGATTCCATTTGCTTCTAAACAATGAGAATTTTTATTTTTATGAAAAAGGGTGAAATCCGAATATAAAAATTGAACCTTTTAAATCTACTATTTCTATTTATTACCTAATGAGAAATTTTAATTAGGAAACTTATCACCTCAAATACTAATTCTAGTGACTATTTGTTTTGCCACTAAAGGAACATTATCAAAGTCAAAAAGGGATTTACAAGTTCATTTTGCCGACTGTTTATTTTGCCTCGAAAAGATCTATTACTAAAAAGTGATACTTTAAATTAGGGATTAGTACACCAAAAATCTTAAAACTTATTGCGAAAGTGCAATTGAGTCTTAAAACTTTGAAATAGTGCAATCAAATCCTGAAACTTATAACATGAATGCAATTAAATTCCTCCATTAACTCCATCCGATTTGATGAACGAAAAATGATAGCGTGACTTTATTTATTGATACGTGGCTGTAAACTTAACTTTGTCATCCTCATTTGATTCAATTGACGTCCTTTCTTCCCCTTTAACCCACTAAAATAGCATCGTCTTATAATTACATCTTCGTGGAATTGTATATTAATCCATTGGGCACCCCTTGTATTATGTAGGAATTGTCGATTGATAGTAGATTCGAGGTTTCAACAAACTTGTGGATGAGAATCTGATGAAAATGATTTAGTTTTCATCGAAAATTAATTGGGATCGGTCATGTCACTAACACAAAGTACATGCATGAAAATTGATCATGTCAAAAGCACTCGACTAAACGAGTACTCGGTTTTGGAAGCTCACGTAGGTGCCATGCATCAATAGCCAGGTCCGGCTCTACGAATTCTGGTAAATTTTAAATGGAAACACGACAGAAGGATTTATTTAATACTTCTTTAATTTTAATTAGGAAACTCATCACCTCAAACACTAATTCTAGTGACTCTTTGTGTTGCCACTAAAGTTATCAAAGTTAAAAAGAGATTTACGAGTTCATTTTGGCGACTGTTTATTTTGCCTTGAAAAGATCTTTTACTTAAAAGTGATACTTTAAGTCTCACGCTTTTTTCACTCCCTTTATGGCTAAAACACTCCTCAATACAGTATCATGACAATATTGCCACTTGTGAGTTCCACTTTTTAGCATCCATTTGTCCCTATTTTTTATTGATTTTCTATTTCTTTTCTTGTGGGTCCCACATCCACTTTCCATAATCTTCTTGCTTCTCTCTTTTCTTTCTCTCTTTTTTTTTTGTCGAACTTTATTTTCTCTTAAGCAGAAGAGAAATGGAGAATCACAAAAGTCACGTCCTAGTGCTCGCATATCCTAGGCAATGCCACATCAAACCGCCGCTGGGACGTCGACGAAACCCTCCTCCTTGACCACCTCTATCTCCGCGGCTACCGATCTGACTTACTCAACCTCATTGTAATTCACGTTGTTTGCAAGGAAATCTAGCAAATGGTCGGTATTCAGCATCAGAGGAAGCCTTAATGATCTCTGTGGATAATAACCAAACAACATATTGTGTTCATGTTCCTAGACAAATCTCCCAAGAAGAGTTGGTTAAACTTCTCCCAAAAACCTGGGTAACCAACTACGAAAAGCTCCACAAGGATGTTCGTCCAGTCCAGTCTACTGAGCCAAAGTTTACCAAGAAGAAAGATAGCAGTGTGGTTATCAAATTTGACCGCACGGAACAGAAGACAGAGGCGTCTAGCTCTATTTTCTCCACTCTTCTTATGGTCCAACTTGTCTAGGACCACCAAGAAGATGAAGAAAGTAGATCTAGCCACAGACTCCAGAAAGGTCCTCCGATGCACTCATTTGATACAAGTGGTAATCCTATTTACTACTTAGAAGATTCGATTACGGGACATTGTTATTGGGTTGTGGACTGCCAGTGTACACTTTGTACAGCCCCTCCAGAAGAAGAAGATGATCGACCTTCGGCGAGAAAGAAAAAGAAAAAAAAGCTTGAGATCCTTTCTACAAGAGATACCTCGGTACCCTTCCATAGGTTCTCTTGGTGAAGACGATGGAAGGTACCGGTTTATGGTATCTTATGCAGTGTCCAACCCTACTCCAGTATTATCTCCAGTTTCTTCACCACCGTCTCCTGACCATAAACCTGATGAACCACCAAAATCAGAGCCCCAAAAAATAAAGCCAAAACAGCATCCATTTCCCCATTTTACAAGCCCAGTTACAAGTGGATTAAGAAAAATTCCTCTTGTAATCCAGAACCACTCAAGCCAGTGAGAAGCCTTTCCTCCTATTGACCCAGTGTCAGATGACCAAAAAGTTCAAAAGCTTGAACATACGGCCACACAACTTTCGGCTGTACGTATGTTCACTCCCGTCGAGTTTCCCCCTTTGGCACCTCTACCTCAGCTAGAGCAAGAGTTTGAGACAACTAGTTCTGGCCAAAGGTACAAACATGTTGCTAAGGTTCCAAATCCCCCAGGGGTTGATGCTAGTGGAAATTCCAAGAATATTTCTACAGGAGAAGCTGTCCTTAATTGGCAAACTGAAAATGCACTTATGAAAAACAAAGTGCTTGCTTATCATTCTACTGCTCTTCAGCAAATTGGTTCAACCCTCGGAACCATGCATGAAGGTTTTAGTGCTATGCGCGAACGACTTGATCGTGTACACCAGAGAGTTAACCAGGGTGCAGAAACTTCCATCAAAATAGAAGGAATGATTAGAAACCTTGAAAAAAGGCTTGCTAATCTTGAAGCTGGAAGAATCCAGCATCAATATTTGGACAATCAAATGGAAGAAATAGCAAAGGTGAAACGGCAGATTGCTGAGCTTAAAGAGCATGGTCTTCCCCAGCATCCGAGACAACTAGCTAATCATTTTGCTCCAACTCTAGAGCTTAGTAATTCTCCTTTGAGTTCTACTAGGAATCTATTTGCAGAGATATCTGCTAGGCAAGACTTAGTGCCTCAACGCCCAGATATCAAAACTCTATGAGATCGTGTTCGAGACTTGAAAAAGAAAGGAAAAACTTCAGAGCCCAAGGATCGAGATCCTCCTTCATCATTTATGATCTCTAATCCCATTGAGTCTTTCGACAATAGCACTAGCAAGCTCTTCCAGCTATAACAACAATTGCAGTTAAACCAGACAAAGCTAAAGAAAGTTCCAATGATGATTCGAATACTTTATCGGAAACATCTATACCATTACCATCAGAAGACGCCCCAGTCCAGGATGGAGTAATGATGGCAGACGAAGATGATGATATGAAATCAAGTGCAGAACAGTTCCAACTGTGCACATCTAATGTGTTTCATGGAGAAAGTAAAAACACAGCCTCTTCGAAGGTCGGATTTACTTTGGATGATCTTCCATACTCAAAGTGGATAGATCGACTACAAGAATTTCATGCCCGGATGATTACCAAGTCGTTAAACCCAAAGCTCTCAAAATGGGATATTCTATCCGAATTTGTTAGTGGGTTTACCGAAAGTCTGAAAGTTTGGTGGAACTGCCTTACCCTAGCTGACCAGAATCATTGACATCTGAAGACTTCTACCATGCCCTCAGTTTGATTCACCAAATCTTTATTGGTGATATCAATGACTAGAAAGAATTGAAATGGCGAGAATTCTATAATAGGAAATGTTGTTCCTATAAAAGAAAAGATCTGGATCGACACTTTAAAGAAATGATTAAGCTCTTCTATGATATAAGAGCTTATCCGGCCTTGAAGACGGTCTTCTTGACGTCCATTCCAAAAGATCTCGTCACAGCCATTGAAAAAAAAAATTAAATTAAAAGAAGAACTTTGGATGCTACGCTTGGAGAAATTCAACAAGTTCATTTAGCGATTGATGATCTGTGCCAAAAAAGGCAGACCATCAAGTCTTATCTTCGAGCCAATGCCCAATTCGACAAAGCTTGCCAAAAGCTTGAGCTACAAATTAAATGTCCAAAAGGACATGCTAATTATGAGTGCTCTACAAAGAAGCAGACGCATTTCAGGAAGATTAAATTTAAATCTTCTAAGAAGAAGAGATACAAGTTTCTCCGCAAGTCGAAGTTTCCAAAGAGA